AATTATATTAGCACAGAAATGCTATACTGAAAAACCAAGGGGCAAAAAGTTAAGACCTTCTTAGGCAAAATGTGAGTTATACCCAGTGAAAAATAAATAATTGGTCGTAAATAGAAGCCCATTGTAAATGGGTTCAACATTAATGTGTGTGTATGGGGATGGGTCATCAGGAAATTTCAACTTATCATTCAAAGAAGGTCTGCTAGAGGCAGCGACTGTCATTTATTCATCCATGTATCCTTAGCCCTTAGCACAGTGCCTAATACCTAGTGCCTGGTTCAAGTAAGGGCTATTATTTTAGATTTGCTGTTAACACATTGATTTTGTTTATATTAATTCACTGGAATTGTTATACAATAATGTTATTTATGTCATCTTGGGTTTTAGGTAGATTGGGGTCAACTGGACTATTTAGTTGTTGACATGCCACCAGGAACCGGAGATGTGCAGTTATCGGTCTCACAGAATATTCCTATTTCAGGTAAATCTTAAAAGTTTAAAGGAATTTGTGCTTTCTTTCATGTGTGTTATTGCTATACAGAAAAATAAACTTCATGTTAGGTAACATTTTTGCCTTAAAAAATAATCATTTATAAATTTTTCATTAGAGATGAGAAGCATAAATTAAATTTTTCAAAATATTACCAGAATGAGTATATTTACAAAAACATAAAGACACTTTGAAAAGATGATAATATAAATCTGTCTTCTACATTCTATAAAAAAGACATCTGCACTTGAATGTTTATAGCAGCACAATTCACAATTGCAAAGATGTGGAAACAAGCCAAGTGCCCATCAATACATGAGTGGATTAATAAAATGTGGTATCTGTATACCATGGAGTACTATTCAGCTATAAGAAACAATGGTGATATAGCACCTCTTGTATTATCCTGGATAGAGCTGGAACGCATTCTACTAAGTGAAGTATCCCAAGAATGGAAAAACAAGCAGCACATGTAGTCACCATCAAATTGGTTTTAACTGAGCAACACCTAAGTGCACATATAGGAATAATATTCATCAGGCGTCAGGCAGATGGGAGGGGGAAGAAGGGGATGGGTATATACATACATAATGAGTGCGATGTGCACCATCTGGGGGATGGACACGCTTGAAGTTCTGACTCGGGGGAAGGCCGGGCAAGGACAATATATGTAACCTAAACATTTGTACCCCCATAATATGCTGAAATGAAGAAAAAATTTGTCTTCTAGAAAGCAGTAGTGCGTAAGTATTATACAGGTGGAACATGATTGCTTGATTCACTGTTGTGCAGCACTTATAGCACTGGTATATGACAGGCACTCGGTAAATATTTATTGAATGAATACTGAATAAGAGTAAGTATTAGGAATATTGGCTTTTTAGTAAATACAGCTATGGGAGAATTTTATATTCTGCTCATTATTTAATGTTCAAGTCAAGAGAGCAATAAACATAATAAGTTATGTGAGATATATAATATTTCAATATGGTAGTGGATAACTTTTTATGATATGGAATTGAAATATTAGTATTGTAATTATCCTTTATATTGAATCTGCTTCTAAAGATTTTCGTAGATGCTACTGGAGAAATAGTTCAAATTTCTATATTAGAGGACTTCTGGGAAAATGATGGAATTTTTAAATGTCTTTGCAAATCAGTTATTTACTGGTTATTGAAATCGTATTGACATTTATTCATCAAAAGGTTTAAAATCTAAGTTTTGGACAAGATATACATGTTATTTGTAAATATCAACATAGCCTCATTAATATGGGTATTTTGATGTTTTAATATCTTTGTAACTTTAATGGAGTCTAAGACTTTTTCTTTGGTGAGGTAGACTGTAAAGTATGGGAAGGGAATAAAGGGACATATGAACATAATTCATCCTTTTTGTAATCACTGTATTGTGATTTTTATTTTTTTGCTTTGCTTTTTCTTTTTTTAAGTAGTTTTGGTATCTTTTATATTTCTAAATTTTAAGAATACTTACTAAATGTTCATTGAAAAAATGTGCCCTGGTACCTTTAAATGCCTATTGCAAGCTTAAAAAATGTTTATGTTATTTATATGGATAATACAGTGATAAAATTGGGCTAAATTATCATTTATGCCTTGAGTAACTTGGTACTTTGAAAAAGTTTAATTTATTTCACACAGATAGAGTGATGTTCCTATGCCTCGAGTAACTTGGTACTTTGAAAAAGTTTAATTTATTTCACACAGATAGAGTGATGTTCCTAAGCAGTTTTCTTTTGTTTACTTTTGTTTACTCAGGTAATGGGCCCCCTGAACAAGATTGATGATTAAATTACCCCATATAAATTTGTTTTTATACTACCATCCAGCAATGTATGTAACTGAACTCAGATTTTGCTGCTCAGCACTTGAAAGCCAACCTCAAGACAACAATTGGGTGGAAGGAAAAGGAGGTTCATTCAAGAGCTGGCAACCTGAGGAGATGGCAGACTAATGTTGCAAAGACCATCTCAAGTTCCTCAGGCTGACCAAGAGTTGGTTTTAAAGGGGAAATGGTCCCGTCAGCATGTCTTGTTCCAATGATTATCTTGAGTAATGGGCCATCTGGCAGTCTGGCTGGCATCAGCTAGACTGCAACAGAATTGAAGGTTAACTGTTCAGCATTTCCCTCTAGGGGAGAGTCCCACAATTTTGGTTCTATGGTAAACTACTCATGGCTAGTTCCTGAAATTCTTAAGCAAGCACATAATTGCCATTGTAAAAGAAATAGTAGTTAACGCTTCATGATGAAGTAACTACTGCTGTTACAAGTATATAGATTGAGGTTAGATTTGCTTCCTCTTTCTTTTTTACATCCTAAAATTTAACCTTTATTCCTTTCCTTTGATGAAGAGTCTACCCTGTAGCAGGCAGCAAGTATTACATGAGCTAAGACAGTATTTTTGTTGTGGTGGCGGTAAAATATACATAACAGTTTAGTGGTATTAACTGCATTCACATTGTTGTGCAGTCATCACCACTATTCATCTCCAGAGCTTTCATCTTTCCAAACTGAAACTCTGTATCCATTAAACATAACTCCCTCTATTCCTCCACTCTCTCCAGCCCCTGGCAACCACCATTCTACTTTCAGGAACAGTATTTTTTTATGTTAGGATTAGAAGACCAAAGAGGAAAATATATTTAAAAGATTACACAAACACCTAAAATTGATTTTATGATTTATTAATAAAATTTTATACCAACAGATTTTTATTTTATTCATATACAAGATAGATGCTAAGCATTGCAGTGGTCCCCACCCTTTTTGGCACCAGGGGACTGGTTTCATGGAAGACAATGTTTCCACAGTTGGGTCGGGGGAGGAGGCAGAGCTCAGGTGGTGGTGTAAGCGACAGGGAGCAGCTGTAAATACAGATGAAATTTCACCAGCTCATCTGCTGCTCACGCCCTGTTGTGCCCCACCCCCCGCCCCTCCCGCCACTCCGTCCTTAGTTTCATGGAAGATAATTTTTCCATGGATGGGGCAGGGCGTGGTGGAGCTCTGTGGCCCGGTCCCTAACAGGCAGTCTGCGGCCCTGGGTTTGGGGACTGCAGCGAGGATCCAAGGATAAGCAAATACCTGTCTTTTCCCCTAGACTAGAGTTCCTTACCTTTTTTAGCTTTGAAACCTTTTTTTTTTTTTTTTTTTTGAGAATTTGATGATAACTATGGATGTGCTCCAGGAAAATGTATTTATGTATGGTATACAGAGATACTAATCCTATGTATAATTTCAGGAAGCTTAGGGTCCTCAGGTTAAAAGCTCCAGCTCTAGGAGGTAGAGTAAGGTGAGGAGCAGGAAAGAGTGGCATGTAAGAAAAGAACATGGATAGCTATAATCCAGAGTAGGGGAAATGCTGTGCAAAAGATCTAAACCCCGTGATATGGGGGTCAAAGGAAGAAGAGACTCTGGGTGTGAGGGGAATGCATAACGCTTCATAGCGGCGAGCCTTAAAAAACAAATATAAAATGGTGTGGTGTGTGGTGGCTCGGGCCAATAATCTCAGTTACTGGAGACTGAGGTGGGAGACACTTGAGACCAGGGGTTGGAAACCAGCATGGACAGCATGGTGAGACTTTGTCTCTTCAACAACAACAAAAAAAGTTAAAAAGAATAAATATGATACAGTGTAGAGCATTCATTTCCTTGCTTTTTCTTGGCATACAGGGAAGAAAGCAGAAAAGGGAACTACTAGTGTTATGTAATTCTAAAGTAGAAACATAACATGTATTTTACTTTCTAAGTCTAATCTATTTTTTTTCTAATTAGACCAGTTACTAAAGATCCTTTTGAAAATGCACAAACCTAATTATTTCTGAACTGTGGAATTAAAATTAGTATTTATTAATATTTTATAAATTTTCTGTAATAAATATATATTTTTATAGTTAAAAAATTAATAAAACATTAATTATTTAAGGACAATAGATCTCTGCATGAAATGGTACGATGGTAAATGCCTGTTAATAATAAATTGCCATTTAATATGACAGTCTTCCATACATTAATTTTCATATTTAATTCTCACAGGTGTTATATTATTTCTGTTTTCTTAAATCTCAGAAGAGTTAAGTAACTTTCTCAAGATTCCACAGTTACTGTGGGTCGTAGCTAAGGTTCACATCAGTTCTGACAGAGCTTGAAGCTCATGTTGTTAACCTCTACATCAGGCTGCCCAACAACGTTCAGCTCATTGATTTTTCTGAGTTCAGCTCTAATCCTTTCAAACCCATTTAGGTTGAAATTATTCTAATCTAAGTGATTCCTGAAAAAAATAAATTTGTCTCTGAATATGTCTAAACCTGTTTACCCTTATATGATGAATATCCAACCAATGGTCTGTATTCGTACTTACTATATTCAGTAATTTTTGTCTTGAGAGACTACTTTGGACCTCTTTAACTCACACATTCCGGGAAAGATCTGGAGAAAGTCTACAAGCAGTTTCCTTTGGCCTTTAGTAGAGCCCCAAGTGATTCTTCGAAAGACCAGTACTATCTCTGGACTGATCCGTACTGACCTTGAACATTTGGCTAGTTTCTAGGCTTACTGGCTCTCTGTACAGAATTGTAGCAGTCAGTGTTAGTGCATTCATATTGCACATTATTATATAAATACTAAAATTGATAACAATGAAAAGACTAGATTTTCTACATTGAATTTGTATTTATTTTATAATTGGAAAAAATAACAAACAATAAAAATATTATACCAAAAAGGATGTCGGGGAGAATTTGGGGAACATGTGATTATGATTATGTCTATGGGTGTGTGTGTACATGTGTTAAAGAGTGTTTATTAAAGGCTTGGTTCCTGAGGTTTGGTTTTATTCAGGCCAATATCATTTCTTTGCTAACATATTTAAAGAGGCACCAAAATTGAGCCAACTTTCAGGATTTAGAGGTTATGGCACCAGCTAAAGAGTTTTGCATAACCTGGAACAGCCTGTCAGAATCATGTCTGCC